AAAACAAAAATCCTCACAACTGGACCAATAAGCAACATCATGATAAATGGAGAAAAGATTGAAGTTGTCAGGGATTTCATGTTATTTGGATCCACAATCAACACTCATGGAAGCAGTGGTCAAGAAATCAAAGGACATATTGTATTGGGCAAATCTTCTGCAAAAGACTTCTTTAAAGTATTGAAGAGCAAAGATGCTACTCTGAAGACTAAGGTGCACCTGAACAGCTTCATATGCATATGAGAGCTGGGCAATGAATAAGGAAGACTGAACAAGAACTGATGCATTTGATTTATGCTGGAGAAGAACAGTGAATGTACTGTGGACTGCTAGAAGAACGAGCAAATCTGTCTTGGAGGAAGTGCAGCCAGAATGCTCCTTAGAGGTGAGAACGGCCAGCCAGACTTTGTCTCACCTGCTTTGGCCATGTTGTCAGAAGGGACCAAACCCTGGAGAAGGACATCATGCTTGGTGAAGTAGAGGGTTCTCAAAAAAGAAGGCCCTCAAGGAGATGGGTTGACACAGTGGCTGCAATGATGGGTTCAAGCCCAGCAAGGATTGAGAGGCTGGCGCAGGACCGGATGGGGTTTCCTTTTGTTGTCCACAGGGTCACTAGGAGTTGGGACGGACTTGATGGCACCTAACAGCAACAAACACTTTCATGTGAAATGTATCAAAAGATAAGATAAACTGAGGAATGGAAGAAATGACTAGATACTGTGAAAAAGCAATACAATAAAATGTTCATAGTGGATAAAACAAAAGCTATATTGAAGTGCTAACCCCTGCACCTCGGAATGGGACCCTGAAACAGGGTCTTTGAAGATGATCAGTTAGGTTAACAAGAAGACACACTGGCGTGGAGGGAGTGGGTCCTACATCGCATTGGTGTGGGGTCCTTTTAAAAGGGACGAGACACTTTCAGAAGCTAAGAGACACTGAGAAGACACAAAGGAGCGAGGGCCCTGTGAAGATGCATGTAAACAGCAAGGAAGGCCTGGGGCCACCAGAAACTGGGAGAGACAAAGAAGGACCCTCCCCGGGAGCCCTTGGAGGGACTGCAGCGCCGCCTGTAGACTCCCAGCTCCAGAAACGCGAGCGAACACTTTTCCATTCTGATGTCTGCTTTGTGGTACTTCGTTATGGCAGCCCTAGGAAATCAAAACATATGGTAGTGACACTGAACTTGACACGCCCACACATCTACAGAAGCTGGCCCGCAGAGTACTGCTGGTCTGATGGAGAAGGGCTCAGAGTAACCAACCAACTGAGGAAACTCGGAAACAGATTCTGAGACAGAGTGGGGTGGGCCTGAGGGGGTGTGTCCCTTACCCAGTGACACCAAATGGCTGTAGTTCTCCAGCATCACCTGCTTGTAGAAGGTCCTCTGTCTGAGGTCCAGGAGCTTCCATTCTGCCTTTGAGAAGTACACGGCCACATCCTCAAAAGACACTGGCACCTACAATGAGCCAATCCTGTGGTCACCAGGGAATCCCTGCCCCGTGGGTGCCAGGATGGGTAGGCAGCAACGGAACGGGAGGCGGGGCTCAGCAGGCAGGAAGGGCGGGCCAAGAAGCAGCATGAGGAGCCCATCAAGTCCAGAAAGAACACTAAGGGTACCAAGCTCGCTCCCAGCAAGACAGGCGCAGAGCTGGGGAGGTGGCAGACAGAGACTGCTAAGGGACGATGCTGAAGGAGGCAGGGCGCTGCCACGGGCAGGGAGCCCACTTACCTTGGGTCTGGCCGCCAGGAGAATGGCCGCCATGGTGAGGGAAGTGAAGAGGAGGGGGCGAGATGAGGCCAGCCCAGAGTGGCCGCTCGGAAGCCACTGGAAACCAGTTTCACAAAACGCCGTTTAGTTTTTCTTGTTAAATGGTCCAGAAAAAGGAATGCGTTCAGTGATAGAGCAGGGAGTGAATGTTTGTGAATGTGTAGGTGTGTGAGTGTGGTTTGTGTGTGAACATGTGTGAGCATATGTGTGGATGTGTGTGTAGATGTGGAGGGATATGTGTGAGCGTGTGCAGATGTGTGTGTGTGCGTGTGTGTGTGCATGTGTGCGTGGAGGCCCAGCAAGGGGATCTCTGTAGAGAGCGGCTTTTGCTGGAGAGGTGCAAGGGTTCAGCCCCCCGGGCCGTTCCACTGAGCACTTGTCTGTCCAAGACCTCCTTCTTTACCCAGGAGAGCCCATTGGCTCTCTCCTGCTCCTGCAGCCTCGCCAAGGGCTTGGGCCACACTTTCCCAAACTGAGTTTCTGTCCTCTCTTCTCACTTGCATTGCTAAGCTGAGCCAGTGGTACAGACTGATGCCCTGACTCCTGCAGCCATGAACGTGACCTTGTTTGCAAATGGAGTCTTGCAGATATTATCAGTTCATGAGGTCATACCGGAGGAGGGTGGGCCCTGATCCCATCTGCTGTTATCAAACAAGAGAAGAGACAGACAGAGGAAGGACATTCGTGTGATGACAGAGGCAGACTTTGGGGTGATGCTGGAGAATTCTGGACATTAAACTGTTTGTCATGGATTGAATTGTACCCTAAAAAAAAAAAAAAACTCTGTTGAAGTCCTGACCCATGTGCCTATGGATGTGACCTAGTTTGGAAACAGGATCTTTGAAGAAAGAGAAGACACAGGCACAGACAGGAGACGTCTTGTGAAGATACAGGAAGTCCCCCACTTATGACATATTCCAGTTACGACAAACCACCCTTGTGACCATCTATTTTTTTTTGTGTACCTTATTGTTAGGGATCTGTACTACATACGAGGTTGCAGCACATACATCTCTGATGTCATCGTTCTCAGACGTTCACTCACACATGTTCACAGACCAAATGTATGACGCTGCTGATAATAAAAGGCAGTAATAAAGAAAAGTAAAACCACTAGAGGCATCTGACGCCAGCACCGACTTACGAGGCAGTCATCGGAGTGGAGCCCTGTTAGGAGTCGCGGACGACCTGTACTTCTACAAGAAACACCAAGGCCCGTGGGAAACTGGACGGTAGGAGGGCGGCCTGGAAGGCTCGCTCTCTCGGAACCCTCAGGAAGACTCGACGAGCCGGCACCCTGAACCCAGACTCCAGTCTCCAGGCCTGGGAGATGGTACAGTTCTGATCTTTGAAGCCCCCACATTTTGAAGCAGAGTTATTTGGGCTGACATCCGCACACCTGGCATTTATCCCCAGAGATGACTCTTGCTTGGTTTGGAACCACTTTGGGGCAGGGGAGGCTGTACCCCCATCCTCCAAATCACCTGGGGAAGTGGCTTCTGCCTCCATCTGGGTCCTGGGGCCCACAGCCCAGTGGACACGTTCCTTCTGTTGGACATGAGTTCTCATGAATCAAAGCCACCGAGGACACACTGACCAGGACAGAATCACTCTCAATGGGATGTCATATCACCTCAGAATGACTCTGACCAGCTCACCTCTCAGTATGGTTTGGTAACTGCTCACAGAGGCATCTCATTGAGGGCTCTGAGGTGGGCTCACTGATGAATTACTGAAACATCTCCTAAACTTCACTCTGGATGTCAGACTGATCATGCCAGCTGATGGATCAGCCACTATTGACTATTTTTTTGGGAAAAAAACCCTTCATTTCTGCTGCCCCAGTAAGAAGATGACAAAAAATTCTGGGATAAAATGGCATCGGACCAAGAGTAGCTGACCACCTGGTTGTAATTTTTGCACAGAATGCAAAGGAAGATGGTGACAACAGCCCAAACCAAGGCTGACAGCCAGGAGAGGAGGGTGTCTCGCTGAGTCAATTCAGGCTGTTCTAAGCTCCCCGGGTGTGGTCCTTGGTCCCCCCTGGAAACTCATACAGCCACATCTGAGATATCCTGACACTCAGAAACCTCACCACGGAGCCACAGTGACGGCAAAGTATGTAGTGATCGACAATCCCTCGCTCGCTGTGGGGTTTCTGGGAGAACGGACACCAACACATACATTCTCAGTCACCCTTCTCCCCAGCCCGGCCACCAGAGGTCCATGAAGAGACGCCATCAGGAAAAGCACACGGCAGCAGGACCTGCCCTAGCTGGGGTGGGGGGTGCTCTCTGTCGGTTGGGGGCACTCAGGCTGGGATCTGGAAGCTGGCAGTGGGCAGAGTCGTGGGCTAGGAGTGCAGTTAGCAGAAGAAACACAAGTGTGTCTTCTATTCGAGTCAGCAAGCTTTCTGGGGTGGCCACCTGAGGAGTCCTGAGGGTGCGAGTTACAGCTGGCAGGTGACAGCAGAGAGTCACAAATTTGAAGACAGGCCCACAGAAATGATCCATTCTCATAATCCGAGAGAGGGACGCAAAGGCAGCAGGATCTGCGTGACCTGTAGGGCAATACGACATCATCCTACATCTGTGTATTTGGAATCCCAAGAAAGAAGAGAATGGGGGAGAAAAAGTCCTCGAAGAAATAATGGCTGCAGTTTTCCAAAATTTGGTGAAAGACATGATCTGCAGGTTCAAGAAGGTCAATGAACCCCAGGAAGTGCTTTGTAGTCAACCCACTGAAAACAAAGAGAAAATCCTGAAGGCAGCAACAGAAGGACTGCGCCCAGGGAACGTGGGTAAGATCCTAACGGAATTCCCAGCCAACACAATGGCGGACAAGGGAGAGGGGCTCGGCATCTTTGTAATGTGCTGGCAGAAAACCAACTCAACCCAGAGCCGACATCCAGGGAACTGATCCTGTAAGAACGAAGGGCAAATCGGGACATCTCACGATACGTGAGAGCTAAGAGATTCATCAACATGTCTGCACAAGAAGTAATGCCAGAAACAGCCAACGAGTAAACAAACCACCATGTGCAGGGGCTGCTGAGAGACTCCACTCGTCTGTGACTTCTCTGGAGACAGACTGCAGGCGTCACTTAGCTGCTAGAAGCCCATGACCCTAAGAATAGCAAGGGAACACATCTTCCTGATGTCCAGCCATGACCACCGAGGGCCAGTGAGCATCCCAGGAAGCCAGCTAGGGGTCAGGTAGCAAGTCTCCCTCCCCAAGGGAGGAAGGAACCCATCCTCTCACACGGCTCCCGAAGCAAATGGCCAGTGTGACCAGCTGCTGCCCTGGATGGCTGAGTCTGCAGTGTCCGGAGACGCAGGCGGTGAGAAATGCTGGGGCTTCCAAGAACCCCACCAGCAGGCCCTGCGACGTAATGTGAGGGGCCCGGGGCAGAATGCAAAGGCAGGGTCCTCTGTTCACACGCCATTAGGAGTTCCAAGATACAGAGGATTCAATCAAGTTGCGGCCTTTCTGAGTCGGGTCGTCTGTTGGTGAGGCCAGCCTGCCCACCTACCATGCGGGAAGCGCTAAACACATGGGTTCCGGGAGTTCTCAACAGCTGACAGGCATTTTCTTTTATCACCAATGGAAGCACCTCTGGACCGGAAGAGCAAAGTCGCTGTCCTTGTGCTGAAATGCCTGTGGAGTTGCCTGGCTCCAGCTGGGCTCTTAGCTAGATGAGGAGACCTTCAGCACAGACCAGGGTGCAGTGAGGCGAATGGTCTCCCACCAAAAGACACGTCCGTGTCCTACCCAGTCAGGGTCACCTTATTTGGAAAAGGGGTCATTTGAAATCCCGGAAAAAAAGACATGACAAGACCTGTCCTCACAGTCCCCACTGCCAAGTGACAGCTATAACTGGCCAGGGGTTTTCTAGAAGTAACCCACGTGGCAGGAACAGGGAGAAACACGACAAAGAATCTGGAAGGAGATGGGCAGATGCTGGATGCTGGCAAGACCCTTTGACCTTTGCGGCCACTGAGCAGAGGGCAAGCTGAAGCATGATGCCTGCCAGGCCTCGAAGCTCACTTTCCCAGAAACACAATGCTGGGTGCGAACATGAGGGGCCCCGAGACAGGCAGGGTCTCCTCCACTTGGGTGACACCAGAGAATCAGGGCCCACCACCTGTGCAGCCTCAACTCCAGGCAGGTGCACACTTCTGGGGAGGAGCCTCATCGGATGAGAAGCAGCGGCGTTTCTCAGCCCTGCTCCACGCACCTTAGCCTGTGGCGGACCGGAGCCCGGACCAGTGCTGCTGGGAGAGGGAAGGGGAGGAGGACCGGGACAGGGAGCCTGAGCGCTTTCTAGCAAACTGGCTTGAGCTACAGCGCGCCTTAGCGTTGATTCCTTCAAGGTACCACTAGATGGCGGAATTGTCCCAGAAAAATCAAAAAGAAAACAAAGGAGGAGGTGGGTGGCCAGCAGACTACTGGGGCCAGATCAGGTATTTGGGTTTTCCATGCACAAGGAGGGACAGGCAGGGCCACTGCAATAGGCGTTCTTCCTTTCTGAAGACTTCTCTGGGGCTCAGTAATTCAAGACCCCAAAGCCTCCTCTCAGCCCACTTGCCTTCACTAGCCTTCCGCCCTGGTCGCTTGCCACCCACCCTTGGACAGCACCTGCTGAGTCCGAGGCTGAGCAGGAGAAAGGCCCTAGGCCCTGCTCCAGGTCTGCCCTGGGAGCTCCCATAGGTCACCTCGGGCCCTGAAGCGCAGCCTGCCTGGCCCAACTGCAGGTGGGCAAAGCCCTTCAAGGAGCTCCCCTCTAATGGCTGTCTCTGGGGCAAAGATGACCCAGATGTCATAGAGGCGATCCAGGCTGCTGGCTGAGGAAGTCTAACAAGTGGGGCCAGCCTGTCCCTCCCGGCTATGAGCCTTCCCTGGCTGCCTGTCATCCTCTGAGGAAACGGGATGTCATCCTCACTGCCACAAGGCCTGTTGTCCTCATCCTCCACTGCTTCCATACCCCCTGCTTC